CACAGCACAGTCCCAGACTGAGCTGCAAGCATGAGATCTGGTGGACCAGATAACCCACATGATAATTATACCTTTCTATTAAGAAAGGGAGGTTCAGTCTTCCATGGTAAACATGTGGAGATATATATATAACTGCAAGAGCATGTCCTGGGACTAAATGTGTAGTGCTGCTCTGTTATTCCATTTAGTCCCAGGACATGCTCTTGCAGTTATATATAGAGCAGCACTACGCAGAGACCGTCTTTTGTGCTTCAAGCACAGCGGTAAAACCTCCACTGTGTGAAGGAGACAGTCACACAGTATAAGTGCTCAGGGAACCTGGATATATGTACCCCAAAGCAGCAAACCAAACGTTGGAAATTTTTACACGGGGGAGAAGAATTAATGGAGAAATGATCATTTGAATGTAAAACATAAGTGTAAATAGGGCAGTTGAAGTGACCCCTAAAGAACATCATTGTTCATGGAAAGGTAAGATGGAAAATGTGGTCTGAGAATCATCTGCACACACCTGGCAGCTGAAGCTACTTGAGAGCATAATTCAGTAAGGTCGGGTTGGAGAAGAGGGTAAGCCAAGGGTCAGGGAGAGACTTTGAGCTGTGGGTGGAGGAAAGGCAAAGTTCTAGGAAAGAGAACAGGTGGAATGGGGCAGTAAAGGATTCAAGACAAGTCAAAGCACACACACACAAAAAAAAACCATCAAGGCAGGCAATGGGAATATGGACAGATCAAAATGGATGAATTATCTAGAGATCAACATGTCTGCATTCTTACTAACCACCACCTGCAAGGGTGGACCTGAATGATCCAATATGGCAGCCACCAGCCACATGGCTACTGAGCACTTGTAGTGAATACAAGCCAAAATGTGCTGCAAGTCCAAAATGCTCACTGGATTTCAAGCACTTCAGGGGAATTTTTTAAAATCTCATTTTTATATGTTGAAATGATGAGTCAAAATATCATTAAAGTGGATTTCAAACTTTGGCTTTAGTCTTTTTAATGTGTTTACTGAAATTTTTCTGATATTTCATGTTTATTTATTTATTGTGGTGCTGGGGATTGAACCTAGGGCTTTGTGCATGCTAGGGAAGTGCCACACCACTGAGCTACATCACCAGCCCTATTGGACATTTATATTTTCTATTATTATTATTATTATTATTATTATTATTAGTCATTGCAGTGCTGAGAATGGCATCTGGGACCTCATGCATGCTAGGCAAGCACTGTACTACTGAGCAACACCCAAGCCCTTTTAAAATTACTTATGTGGCTCACATTATATTTCTGTTGGACGGCATTTCTCGAAATGGACTATAGACCTCACTATGAAAGGTGAAAAAATTAAAACACTGTTAATAGAAGAAAATGCAGAATATCTTTGTGATTTGGGGGTAGAAAAGACATGAAACTTCAAAAACAAATTTTTTAAGATAAAAATTGATTTCATAAAAAATAATTTCTGACCGATGAAGGACACTGTGGCCAAAGTTAACAAGGTGAAATGAGAAGATTTTTTAAACCAATGCAGAGCAACATCCAGAAATATGCAAGAAATTCCTACACATCAACAACAAAAAAGAGACTGCAATCTGAGACACAGACAAAAGACACAGAAAATTCATGAGAGTAAACCCAAAAAACTTAAGAAGAAATTCTTAAAATCATTAGTAACCAGACAAATGCTAATCAAAACAACAAAGAACTATGGCTACTGAGCACTTGTAATGAATACAAGCCAAGATGTGCTGCAAGTCCAAAATCCTGGCAAAAATTAGGAACCCAGATAATGTCAAACATTATGGCAGAAACAGAAATAACAGGGCCCCTTGTGCCCTGCTGGAGGAAGGGTATACCAGCACAGCTTTTCCAGAGAACAACTTGGCACTACATAGACAAGCTAGTTTTCTGTATACTCACCAAGCATTGCAGCAATATCCTCCCCCCACACACTACCATGAGAATTAGGGCACACACATAAGGATGTTAATTAAAACCTTTTTCATAATGATGGGGAGCAGAGGCAGTATTCTATATCCAGAGATGGTAGATAAAATGTGTGGCTGCACAGCATGGAGTATTACTTAGGAGTTAGATATCACATAGCATAGACTGCTTAATGGAGAAAAGTAAGAAAGAGTGAGCTATACACACATAATTTACATAATTTATGCAAATATACGATGGATGAACTTTGCTTAGGTCCATATTAGAAGAGGCCAACTGTGAAAAGACATTTGTTAACAATCTAGGCAAAACTGGAATACCAATATAATTAACACAGTATATGGGCTCAGTAGGTAGTGTGCTTGCCTAGAGTATATAATCCCTGGGTTTGATCCCCAGCATCAAAAAAAATGCTGATGTTCTAAATTAGAAGTAGATAATGAGGTACTTATGGGGAAAATAGCATTATATCTTGATGTTTGTTTCAAAATACTCCAGGGGAGGGGAATAAAAGGAAAGGCTGCTTGAAATAAGATCAGCAAAATGTTGATAATGCCAAAGCTGGATAAAGTGTCCAGAGGAGTTCATTAACCTATTGTCTCTACATTTGCACTTTTTTGACAATTTCTTCAACAAAAAGTTTTTGAAAAAAAAATGAATGAAAAATGTCTTCCAAGAGCAGAAAGTAATATACATTAAACTTATTAGAATTGTTGCCTATTGAAAAATGTCTTCCAAGAGCAGAAAGTAATATACATTAAACTTATTAGAATTGTTGCCTATGGAGGAATGAGAATGGAGATAAAAGGGAATAAATTTTAAAATGGGGGGAAGGAGATGGAATGGTACAGTCAGCTAAGAGAACAAACAGTGTTAAGAACACAGAGGAGACTGGGCATGGTGGTGTGCACATGTAATCCCAGATACTCAGGAGGCTGAGGCAGGAGGACTGCAAATTTGAGACCAGCTTCAGCAATTCAGCAAGACTCTGTTTCAAAATAAAATCTTAGAAAGGGCTAGAGATATGGCTCAGTGGTAGACCCCTTTCCTAGCATGTATGATGGTCTAGTTTCAATTCCCATGTGATAGTCCCAATTCTTCCTCACTGGGACCAAAATACCTGACAAGAACAATTTAGAGGAAGAAAAGTTTATTTTGGCTCACAGTTTCAGAGGTCTTAGTCTTAGGTAAGCTGACTCCACCACTGTGGCCCTGAGGTGAGGCATTGTGGCAGAAGGGTGTGTGGAAGGAAAGCCACTCACCTCATAGTAGCCAGGAAGCAGCAAGAAAGAGACAGAAGCCAAGGGGACAAGATGATTACATTTTGAGACCTACTTCCTCCAATCACACCCTGCCTGCTTATAGTTATCACACAGCACAGTAGTAATATTTTCATTATTAATCCATCAAATGAATTAATCGACTGCTTAGGTTACAACTCTCATAATCTAATCATTTCACTCTGAACATTGCTACATTGTCTCCTGAGCTTTTGGGGGACACCTCATAGTCAAAGCACAGCACTCAGTACCGAAACATAAACATACAAACACCATACAAGGAAAGGAATGGTGAGTGAAATGAACGTTTTAGAAGGATGAAAGTTACTAAGGAAATATTAGCTTCAGAAACCAAAGAAAATTGGAGAATTGGAGAGAACAGAATCCAAAAGACACTATATGAAGTTTCAGACTATCTCAAGAAGTCTCTTCTGGAGCATCAGTGGAAAAGGAGAAGGGAAGGAGACAGGTAAATAGAATTTACCTGAAATCGCTTTTGCTAATATGGAAGATAATAATAATAATAATAATAATAATAATTATAGTAATTATTATTATTATTATTAGATTAATGAAAGCTGTTTTAGAAATGGTGAAGGAAGCTTCTAGAGATGTCCAAAAGTAAAAAGTCTGAATACAGAGAGAAACTGGAAATGTCCAGAGAAAAGGGAAAGGGACAGGAGAGGTAAATAGAATTAGCTGGGAGCCAAGTACCAGTATGGGTTATTAAAATTGTAAAGACAGTGCATCTTCGGAAATGGCTGGGAAACAAAAAGAATTCAGTGAAGCAAACATAATCAAGTAGTTGGGTGGAGGAGGGCAACTGAGAAATTGCCTTGAAAGTATCAGAGAAGCTGTTACGGAGACACCACAGTGAAAAATGGTGATTGACAACCACCGGGCACCTCTACTCTGAGATAAATTCAACCCATCAATCTCCATAAATGTCTCTGCTTTGTTGGAGGATGACAGCGAACCCACCTAATAGCTTCCCTTTTGCCACCAGGAGGTGCCCTTAGACCGCAGCTGAATTTTGAATGCCAGAAAGTCAGTCGGGAGATTCAGTTACCTTCCTCCAGTATCTCGGTGAGGACTTGGAGACCTGTCCCACCCTAAAGCAAGGAATCTGTCTCGTCCTCTGTACCAAGTATTCTTTTGGTGTGTCCACCAACGACACACATTTTGAGCTTATACTCTGGCCAGAGAGAGAAAACCAGCCACGTATATAGATGAATAAATTGTAGTTTGGGTAGATATACCTCCTAGTCCTATCCCAGCTCTATCGCAGATCATCTTCTGTTCCTTGGTTCTGTTTTCTCACTAATGAATAACTCGTTTGCAATAAAAAAAAATTTAATTGTTTAAAGCGCTACAAAAAAATAAAAGTCAAGGTTTGCTGTGTTTCTGAAATGTTGCCCCCAGCTGCCATAAAAACGGACAAGCCAGCTAAGTAACTCCCTTTTAGGACCCGGTGAGATAACCCTTTGTCATCAGCAACCCCTCTGCAAGGGCCCAATAGCGCGACCCATTGTGATGGCTAGCGACTCCCCCGAGCTTCTGAGTTTACCCACACAGTGGTTGCGTCCCGAGCCCTTCTGACGCGGAGCTGCGACCCCCTCCCAGGGCGGTGATTGGCTAGCCGGGGGCGGACTGACCTCGGCCCCGCAGCGCAGTCCCCTGCTGGCCCCGCCCCCGAGCCCGGCGACCATTTGTGTGCGGCCGCGGGATTGGTCGCCCGGCTCCCGCGAGGGGGAGGGGAGGAGGCCGCGCGCACCCGCGCGTGCGTGAGCTGGCGCGCGAGAAAGGGCCCGGTCGCGCCGAGGCTCGAGCGGCCGTCGCCATTTTGTCGGGTTCTCTCTGACGCGGGAGCCGCCGCCACCGCCGCCGCCGCCGGGAGGTACGAGGGGGTCGTGTGGGTGTGCGGGGAGCCGGGGGCGGGCGGGCCGGGCCCCTCGCGGACCGGCTTTGGGCTCCTGGTGGCGCTGTGGGCAGCCCCGGGAAGACAACGAGGGGAGGCGGGGCCGGACGGAGGGGGCGGGGCCGGGGTCGGGCCGAGTCTTTGTTGGGTGAGGAAGGCGGAGGTCGGGCCGCTGCCGGGGTCCTGGTTTGGCCCCGAGCGGGCCTTTTATCTTAGAGCGTGTGGGAAGGCGATATCGTGCAGTGCAGAGGTACACAGATTTCCCTCCAAAACCGTGTCACCCGGGACACTCGGGTGCCTCTTGCCCTACGCTTGCTTTTTCCTCGCTGTTTAGACATGCAGCGCCAACCCGCTGCTTTAAGCACGCCTCCTCTCCGGGAGATGCACTGTGTTGTGCATGCTGACCTCCGACCTCCTATTTGCTTGTCACTCGTACCTCGCAATGCTCATTGTCAAACCTTCCCGCCTCCCTCGAGGAAGAATAATGAACTTCTCTGGAAGGGTCTTGAAGGTGCCTAGAACTTTGGAGGATTAAACAGAAATGTTGCGGTGCACTTGAATTTCCCACCCATCCGACTTTTGAAATCTTGTTTCTTCTCTTCCAGGCTCTTGTCAGGATGGTGAAGCTGTTCATTGGAAACCTGCCCCGGGAGGCCACAGAGCAAGAGATCCGCTCACTCTTCGAGCAATATGGGAAGGTGCTGGAATGTGACATCATTAAGAACTACGGCTTTGTGCACATAGAGGACAAGACGGCGGCCGAGGATGCCATACGCAACCTGCACCACTACAAGCTGCATGGGGTGAACATCAATGTGGAAGCCAGCAAAAACAAGAGCAAAGCTTCAACCAAGTTACATGTGGGCAACATCAGTCCCACTTGTACCAACCAAGAGCTTCGGGCCAAGTTTGAGGAGTATGGCCCAGTTATCGAATGTGACATCGTGAAAGATTATGCCTTTGTACACATGGAGCGGGCAGAGGATGCAGTCGAAGCCATCAGGGGCCTTGACAACACAGAGTTTCAAGGTGAACTGCTTTGGGGCCTGGGTGGCAGAGCTGAGTGGGGTTTAGCTCAAGACAGGTGCAAGAACAAGACCATGGGGCTGGCAGGATCTTTTAACTGGAAATAATAGATTATGTCTACTGCTCTTAAGCATAACTTACTCTTGGGGAAGCAGAACACTTCCCTTGTTCATGTTTGCTGAGATGTTCCTCAACAGCTATGTAGGACCACAAAGTGTGGGTCACTTTATCCTGTGGTCTTCATTCATTCAAATGCTGATGAAACTGTTTGCTGGGGAGAAGGGAGGATAAAGGTCTGTGACTTACCTACTTCTTTTGTTATGCCTAAGAAGCCTTTGGTTTGAGGGTTTAAATGCATAGGGTTTATATTCCACTGCCTTGGGTGAGGGGTAGTGATGGGGAAAAGGTATTTAGAGGAAGCCCTATATTATAAATCTGAGTGGTGAGTCTGGATTTGGGGAAGTGTCTTTTGGGTGAATTTGTTAAGTCTTTGGACTATACAAGCACAACCAAGAAAAAAGTAAATTTTTCTAAAAATTCAAGGTTAAATGGAAATGATAGTCTTACTTCTATGATAAAATTTCAGTTAAGCATCACACAGTGTATCATTGTTTATATTGATAATAAAGTTATATTTGTTGTCATTAATACCACGAGAGGATATCTGAAAACTCTAGAACTGTGCTAATATGGTAGCCTCTAGCCACATGTGGCTGGTAAGTTTAAATTAATTGAAATTAAATAAAACAAAAAATTCACTTTTTCAGTTGTCCTGGACACATTTCAAACAATAGTCATATGAGGGTAATGGCTATTGAATTAGCACATGTACAGAATATTTTCACTATCACAGATAGTTCTGTTGAATAGCATTGTACAGCAAGGTTTTTGTAAAAGTATCATGTTGGACTACACATTCACAGCCACTTCTGGTTCTTAAAATAAACACCCTTTTTGCCCTGAGTGCCACTAAAAGAGTTGTTAAGTACTTCGAGTTTCTCTGCTAAAGTAGAAAGCAGAATGGAAAGAATAGGAAAAATATAGAAATTGACCAGAAAAAAATGAGAAACTGTACAGATAATGGAGTTTAGTGGTTGAGGACCATCAAGTATAATGTGGCTTCAGCCAGTGATGCTTTGGTCTTTAGCTACTCTTAAAAACATAGGGCAAAAGTTGCTGGTATTAATTACCAAGTGGCCAAATGTTTTAACCTCTTTCTGCTTCATTTGCCCTACTTACAAAATAGAGTTAATGATCCTTGTTGTACCATCCCCACAGTATGGTAGTGAGACTAGGATGAGGTAATAGTTGTGAAAATGTTTCCACAGTGAAAGCACTGTATGATGAAAGGTGAGTGCTGTTTGCAACCATGAGTGTTTGTATTGAGAGAAAGTTATTTAAAATGTGATAGGATAGTTAAGCTTTTCTTATTTGTTTTTTAAATTTATATTTGTTTTTCTTTTATTATTTTGGAATGCTGGTGCACTTTACCTTTAAAAGTATTATTGTTTTCATTCAATGGTGGAAGGAGATCATGGATGGAGAATGGGGAAAGAGGGTTCTCTCTTAACAGGTAATAAACAGAATTTAAAAGAATGTAAATTCAGGTACAGACTCTTCAGAGGTGTTGTAGCAATGATACTACAGGCCCTTACCTTTTAATGTGCAGTTGATTAAAAGGAAAAGGGCAAAAATATGTATAAGGAAAATCAGTTAACTGGAGGAAGATGGCTTAGAATGTCTATTTTTTGTTTGTTTTTATTTTTGCAGTGCTGGGGATTGAACCCAGGGCCTTGTGCATGCTGGGCTTCTGCTCTACCACTGAGCTATGCCCCTAGCCCTGAGTGTTTTAATAAAACTGGTGTTATTACTTATGAATTAGATACCTGAATAATGCAATGGATCCCATGAGACATTTAAAAGTGTTATCATTTCCTTAGAAGCACAGACACTAAACTGAATTAGGAAAGAAAAATCTTTTACTCGGTTTTTATGTTGTGTGCCTTTGCCTTCTGGAGAGTGATCTTTGAGTTACACATGCAGACATTTTTGTAACCTTCTATATTTTCCCAAAATGACAAGTTTATTATTGGAAAATAAATCAGTTTTGCAGAAAATACAATGTAGATATCAGTTTGCATAATTTTCTAATAAAAGCCTTTTTAGTCATCTACTAATGAAGATAGCCTCTGGAAAAATGCCACTTTGGGCATCTTCTGAACCTTTATTTATGTACTTAATGGTTGCCATTTAGGTTTCTGCATTGTATGATTTCTAAAAGGAAGCAATAGAATCTGAATTATCTGTGCCTTTCAGTATCTGTTTTCTCTCCATAAGCAGCAGGGGAACATAGTTGTATTGGAAAGGAAGGTGTTCCCAAATTTATATGTCTTGTTTTCAGAATTAAATCAGAGTACTGCTATATATCAACTACATCTCCAGCCATCTCTGGATCCTGGCACATAATAGGAGCTAAGAAATTAGGACCCCATTTTTCCCACCTCAGCATTTTAATATTCTCTTCTGATCCAGCTTTCAAGATAAAATAGTATTATTGTGCTAATTTTGTGAGAAATTTTGGCATATTTAAGTAACTTTGAGGTCTCAGAAAATCTTTTAAACTTCTGGCCTATCTACATGTAGTAGAATAGAGTGGTAGAATTTGTCTTTGCCCTGATTCTGAAAGGTAATAGACAAACACAGTACTTTTTAATTATTACAGGAACTTTAAGGGGTTTAAATTAAAAGCTTGGTTATGACTGTGTTGGCAAGACTATTTAAAAAAAAAAAAGCCTACTATCACTTTATTATAGATGTTTTTTAGTTCTAGATAATTTTTTTTAAATGGTATCCTTTTCACAACTACACCGATAGATTTTGATTTTGCTACAGATGTTTATACACTTAGCAGTTCCCACCCTCTAAGAAAAACAGAAATGAAGATTGGATTTAGTATCAGAAACATCAAGGTAAAAATCACTGGATTTTGTTTCTCTAAAAAACAGACCCAGAATCTATAAAAAATAAAATGCAAGTTTAATTGGATTTTTTCCCCTTACAAATGTTACTTCTAGGTCTCTGGATTGGCTACTTTTTAGATTATCATTGTTACTTTGACTTCAGAATTAGAGCACAGTTTGTGTCTGTCATATAGCTTAATGTGTATGTTTGAAAGCCAAGTAATTTATAATTTTATAGTCTAAATTATAGAGAATTCTATATTTGATATATAAGAGTGTGTGAGTGTGTGTGTGTGTGTGTGTGTGAGAGAGAGAGAAAGAGAGAGAGAGAGGGAGAGAGAGAGTGTAGGGGCAGAAATCTATTTCTTTTGTAAGCATAGGTAACATTGAATAACTTGTAAAAATTAGATGCGAGTATTTAAATCTCTGAAAACTGGGATGGCTCACTAAAATGCTGCTTGCAGAGTTATTGCTGCTTGGTGTCTGCTAATTGAGTCTGGTGATGGTGGATGCTGCCTGTTCATTAGCAGCTGGAGGTCAAAAGCCTGAACATCTTTGTTTCTGCTGAAGTGAGTTTTGGGGCAGAACCAAGTTAGACTAAAGTGATAGGACTGCACTAATCCACAACCCTCTCATGGTTAGTGCATGGTGCTGTTTTGGCTCCCATCCTAAATCAGGTTGTTCCCAAAAAGATAGTTGGAAGTACAAGGCTTCCTATTGCACAGCTGTATTCAGAACAAGACCTATTAAAAGAGAGCAATATGCTGATGGCAGAGGGGGAAACTGTTCTGAGCAGCCCTTAAAAATGACAAGAAGCCCATTTTCTCTATTTTTACTGGCCTTATGGCCACAATTTTTTTAAAGTATTGACTTGATCTCCAGAATTTTAATGCAGTTCAGTACTAAATTACTGCCAGCACCACTCCCTTTTCCTGAACTGCTTTTAAAGACTCCAGATGCTTTCATCTATCAGTAAGGGACCTTGAGTTTGGCTGCACACAGCCTTGAGCAAAGGTGGTTTCTTCTCAAAGCTGTTACTCAATGCTAGTCATTTCTTAGAAGCATGGGTGTGAATTGTTTGAATGGGGGCCCAGAATCCTTTAGGCAAATGCTGCAATTTTCAAACAAACAGAAGATTCCCTATAAAGAATTATAAGTACTGAACACAGTGACATAAGTCTATAATCCTGGCTTCTCAGGAGGCTAAGGCAAAAGAATTGCAAGCTCAAGGTTAGCCTCAGCAATTTAGCAACGCCTTGTCTCAAAAACTGAAAAGGGCTGTAGATGTAGCTTAGTGGTAGAGCACCCATGGGTTCAGTTCCTAGTACATTAAAATAAAGAAAAGAGGGCTGGGCTTGTGGCTCAGTGGTAGAGCGTTCACCTAGCATGCATGAAGCACTGGGTTCGATCCTCAGCACAACAATAAAAAATAAAGTTATTGTGTCCACCTGCAAAAAGAAAAGAATTGTAAACTAAGTGGCAAGTTGAAATCCTGATTGTTCCATTACATGGGAACACATTATCCCTAAGCAGCTGGTACTGTTTTTAAGATCTTCCTAATTCTTGTTGAGAGGCCTTGGTCAGAGTTTTCTGCAGTAGAGATGGATTAGCCCTTGAGGATAAAAGTGAGGATGAGGTTAAAATGTCTTATTTCTCAGAAATACAGGGGATGAAGCAATTGATGAGCCAGATATGATTTGGCATCCAACATAGCCTTCCCCTGCAGAAACTGCTGAAGGAAACAAGGTGGAAAGAAGACTGCAATTGGGTTTTGTTGGTGGTGATTGAACCCAGGGCCTTATGCATGCTAATGAGCACATGCTCTTCCCACTGTGAAACAACCTGACTTTATTGCTGGGGTGGTCCCCTCCCCACCCCTCCAGCCATACTGGGGATTGAAACCCAGGGGTACAATATCCCTGACCTATATCCCTAGCCCTTTTTATTTTTTGAGACAGGTTCTTGCTAAATTACTGCAGCAAGTCACTGGGATTACAGCATGTACCACCATGCCTGGCTGTTGCTGTGGGTTCTAAGCTGCAGTAAGTGCTCAGGCCTTATATGGCCTTCAGTAAATCAGGGAGAAAGAACGAAGATGCCTTCCAGATCTAGCATAACTGAGGTTTTGTTGGATATATCATTGAAAAGTTATTCAGGTTTTGAATCATTATAGTTGATAATAGTCTTTAAGAATTAGAAATTTTTTGACTTTTGTGTTTAGGGGGGAAAAGGAAAGTTGCAGAGACAGAAGTAGGTAGGAATTTGCTACTGTGGTAAGTAGAAAGGACTAACTGGTCTCTGAGGACTAACGTTTTCTGGCTGTCTTCTGTATTGAAACTTCAGCTATTTTTTTAGAGGGCATTGCTGAAATAGGGTCACAAGAGTGTGCGTATGTATGTGTCCTATGTTTACTTTCCTTTGGGGGAGGATAAAGAGTGTCAATGAGTTATAATCTTCTTAATCTATTTCTTCAAGGCAAAAGGATGCACGTGCAGTTGTCTACCAGCCGGCTTCGAACTGCCCCTGGGATGGGAGACCAGAGTGGCTGCTATCGGTGTGGGAAAGAGGGACACTGGTCCAAAGAGTGCCCAGTAGATCGTACTGGGCGTGTGGCAGACTTTACTGAGCAGTACAACGAACAGTATGGAGCAGTGCGCACACCCTACACCATGGGCTATGGGGAATCCATGTATTACAATGATGCCTATGGAGCACTCGACTACTATAAGCGCTACCGGGTCCGCTCTTATGAAGCGGTGGCGGCGGCAGCTGCTGCTTCTGCATACAATTATGCAGAGCAGACCATGTCTCATCTGCCTCAAGTCCAGAGCTCAGCTGTGACCAGTCACCTCAACTCTACTTCTGTTGATCCCTATGACAGACACCTATTGCCGAACTCTGGTGCTGCTGCTACCTCAGCTGCTATGGCTGCTGCTGCCGCCACCTCTTCCTCCTATTATGGAAGGGACAGAAGCCCACTGCGTCGTGCTACAGCTGTGCTCCCCACAGTTGGAGAGGGCTACGGTTATGGGCCAGAAAGTGAGTTGTCTCAGGCTTCAGCAGCTACACGGAATTCTCTGTATGACATGGCCCGGTATGAGCGGGAGCAATATGTGGACCGAGCACGGTACTCAGCCTTTTAAAAACTGGAGGTGAGAGTGGGGTGGGTGTGATTAAGAGATTCCATTTAGTTCCCTTGCAAGAGACCTTCATAGAGGAGGCTAGAGGTACTTGTTTGCTATTAGAACAGAATCCAAAAAGTACTAATTATGTGTTATTCTTTATTATTTCTCTAGCTTAGGCCACAGGTTCACTTGGCCTGTTGAGGTTTTAGCGTGTGACTTCACATACTAAAGTTTCTTAGGAATAATATTCCTATAATCAGTTGTAAATCCACTTGAGTTGCAGAAAAACATTTAAGATAACTAATGTTTGTTTGGTGACCTGTGTATATTAATATCTAGACAGTAAGAGATATTTCTTTATACAGGAAGGGAACTAAGGCTCCAGGGACTCAGTAGTTTGCCCATCATCATTTGGTAAATGAGGGAGGTGAAGCCAAAATTCAAATTCAAGCCTGACTCTTAAAATTCCCACTAACAGTCAGTGTGGTATTAAGCTGAAGGGTACAGGTTCAGGATCAGGACTTAATGATGGAAATCACAGAGTATTTGCTAATAAGATTGTTTATTGGGTCACTAGCCTTTATCATGGAAGCTCTTCAAGTATGATATCTGCAAGCCAGATAAAGTCCTATAAATGTTAAGTGTCTCTAATTCTAAGATACTTGTTTGTTGAATGTTTGATGCTCTGCCCCATGTAGTTCTTTCCTTATTCAGATCTAGAGCATTGGAGTGCTTAACCCCTATTTTCTTGTAACCTATGATACGTTTCCCATTTCTTTCAGCATTTTGGGTTTTTTGTGTGGGAACATACTTAAGGAATTAGAAATTGGCAATCTTCTGATGTACATAAAATCCTATAGGTTGTGACTCTGAAAAGTTAATGTTCCTACTTCAGGAATTGTGTATCAAAGTTGCTAAGTTACTGCAAGTCACTGGGGTAGGAAATATTGAGTATTGAGTTAATCAGAGTGGAAACAGCATCATGACATTATATTTTCATGGTTTTACTTATACTTTGAAATTGGGCATCACTTGAATTTGAGCTCCAGTAGCAAGGTTAAACCGAATTACTACTGAGCTTCCAAGATTTCAAGTTATCCCCTCTTTGGTATAGGTGTAGAAGAAAGAAAAGCTACAGAATTTGCTTTTTGTGAAGTGAGAAGCACTGTGTCATGAACCTGTGATTTTATATCTTATATGACCATGTCAGTAAGACTTGGGATTTCCTGAGACCACTGTGCAGCAGTGTGTTCATGTGTGTGAAGTAGATTAAGCTTAGAAGCTATGGAGGAGTTTGCCATTAATTTTTACAGCTGGATCTACCATGAGTTGAGATGCGTCTGAAGTGAAGTAAGTTGTTATCAATCTATCAGATAACTTCTGTTTCTTTTAAGTATGTTTCAAAGTTAATTTTTAAATTAATATATTGTGGTCTTTAAGGGGTATTGATACATAATTTTAAAAGTGAATTTTAACTGAGAACAGTGGTTGTTCAACTAACCTCTTTGTAGTGATGACTTTTAAAGAAACTTACCTTCCAGGTGTGAACCTCAAATGGACTGAATAACCCTGAGTTGGTTGCAGTCCCAGGAGCCTGATGTTAATGAGGCTGCCAGGAGGAAACACTCCAGAACTGTTGGGGATCCAAATTCGGGTCTCACTAGCAGAACTGATCCAAGAACGTCACAGCTTTTGAAGTCGATTGGCACAGATCAAGACCAAGATTTGGCCCTTTGTCTGTAATAAGTAGAGGAACTTGGTGTGAGTTAACTTCTTTTTTCCCCCAGCCATTGGTGTCTGGAGTTTCCATCATCAATGGAAGAATTACAGAATTCTAGCAGTGATTTCTTCTTTCGATTTGGCAAGGGAGATTTGGTCAATTAGAGAAAACACTGGAACTGTGGTTCTAAATCTGTGACAGTGTGACATGTAGTTGTGTTAGAGATTGGTGAATGACCCACTGTTCCTTGAGAACTTTTACAAATGTCATTTCTAAAAGTTTACTATGAAAAATTAAAAATGGGTGTGGTTATTTGCACCTATAGTCCCAGCTACTCAGAAGGAACACTTATAAGCCCAGGAAAATTCAACCAGAGCAACATAGTGAAATTCCATATCATTTTTTTAAAGGGGAAAGTAGAACAGTTGGCCATATTTGAGATCTCAGTATCTTCTGCTTTTCCCAGATCCAAAAATTAAACTGTTATTTTTGTTGATACATGTTTGCCCTTTGTTGGAGCAATAGAAGCCTTCTGTTAACGAGGTTATTTTGCCGGGCGCCGTGGCACACACCTGTAACCCCAGCGGCTTGGGAGGCTGAGACAGGAGGATCACAAGTTCAAAACCAGCCTCAGCCAACTTAGCAAGGCTGTAAGCAACTTACTGACTCTAAATAAAATATAAAAAGGGGCTGAGGATGTTGCTCAGTAGTTAAGCTCCCCTGGGTTCAATCCCTGGTATCAAAAAAAATAGTTATGTTGCTTAAAAGATGGCTAAGAAAATGAGAAAGTTGAATTTATCACTAACACAGCAGACTTTCACCTAGATTACATCTGTATGTCCTATATAGCTATTAGTATATTCCTTTATAGACCTATTTAATAGAACCCTAGATGATTTTGTGGAATATAAATTTGATCCAATCTGACTTGGTTTTGTTTTGTTCTTTGTTTTTTTTCCCCCCCTGGAATACAGGACGGGACCAGGGCCCTTGTACTCGGAGCCAAGCTGCTCTCCAGGCATTGTGTAAGCCTCTTGTGTTGTGCTCTCTTTCAGGTAGGATAATTGCGGACTGAACCCTCGGGCTGCGGTCATATATGAGAACTTGCTCCGCGCGGTCCCCTTTGCCGGGATGTTTCCATTGCTTCATGTTTCAGTAAACAGAGGAGTTTGAGACCAACTATGTTTTCTTTCTTAATTTAATTCTTCTAAGTTTACTTTTCTTTCCTCCTGATACTAGTCTTAGTAGCCTTTCACTTTGTTCCTTATATTCTCAGCCTCAGATCATCCCTAGGTAAGGATTATGCTGGCATTCCCTTTTTCCTGTACAGTGGAACCCCTCTTATCTTGCTTTCCCTAGGATTTGAACCCTTCCTCCCTGCCTACCTACAGCATCTCCCTTTAAAATGACCATGTAGTGGCAAACAGCCTTTTACTCTTCTCTGTTAGCTCTGGACTCTTAACATTGAAGCTAATCTTCTGAAATTGCTAGGACCATTGGGGGTTTTGTTGTTGTTTTTGTTTGGTTTTTTTTTTTTTTTTGGTCTGACCTGTGATCGTGGTACAGCGTTAGCTGAAATTTAGCCTTGTTTTAACTCCACTCCTCCCACTTTTTTTTTTAAATTTTTTTGACAAATAAATATTTCTAACACTGAAGTATCTTTTTGTTTGTATGATTGTTTTTACCACCAGAATCTTCTCATTCTTGTCCAGTGTGCTCAAACTACAAAATTCTAATCACTGAATGTCTCAAAACATACATGTAGAAGGAAGGAATTAGTGAGTAATATGGCTTCAGAAATAGGTGATAGTGAGAAATAATGCCAGAATATTGAGACACTGATGAATGTGTAAGCTGGTGGTCAGGCTTTTCTCTAAATAACCAGAATTGCTCTTGACAGTTTAAAGGCTAGAACTTAGATTAGTATAGTGATAGAAACCCCACAGGAAACTTTTGAGTCAGGAAAAGGCTCAGCCATAGAATATCTACAGGAACCTATCAGGTGACTCAATTTGACTTCATAGTTTGCTGGGCCGGTATAATGAACATATATTTGAGAAGCTGAGGCAGGAAAATCAGAAGTTCAAGGCCAGCCTTAGCAATTTAACAAAGCCCTAAGAAATGTCATGAGATCCTGTCTCAAAAAAATAAAAAGGGATTGGGATGTAGCTTGGTAACAAAGTACCCTTGGGTTCAATCCCCAGTACCCACACCAAGAAAAAGGGTGGGAGATAGGCCAGTTGCAGTGGTACACACCGGTAAACCCAGCTACTTAGGAGGCTGAGGGTGGGGGATTACAAGTTTGCAACCTGGGAAACTTAGCAAGATCTCATTTTAAAATAAAAGGACAAAGGGATGTGGCTTAGTGTTAGAGCACTTTTGTCTTGCATGCAAGAGGAGGCCCTGGGTTCAATCCCCTGCAGTAACAAAATTTTTATAAAGTGTCATAATACTTAGAGCAGAAAAGCAAATAGTGGACTACGGCCATACCAAAAGAAAAAGAGAAAAAAAAACAAATAGTGTTTTAATATACGGTGATAATATTGTATAGTAAAGCGTGTCTATATTTGAGGCTTTTTTTTTCTTTTCTTTTTTTTGTTGTTTTTCTGGATTTGGGATTGAACCCAGGGGTGCTTTACCACTGAGCTACATCCCCAGACCTTTTTACTTTAGTTTTGCTAAATTGCTGAGGCTGGCCAAGAACTTGGAATTTTGCCTCAGCCTCCCAAATAGCCAGGATTTCAGGTATATGCCACCATGGACAGCCTGGTTTTTTGTTTTCTTTAAAAAAAAAAAAAAAAAAAAAATCATTGTTCTGTCCCCATAAAATGAATATTTAATGATGGATTCAACCATGCTTAAGCTTTATTGTGACATATTACTTCTGGCTACATGTGAAATTTTACCTACAATTGTAGTATTCCCACATTCTCCCTACCTTAGGGATCAAACCAGGGCCTAGAGCATGTTAAGGACACACTTCACCCCTGAGCTACACCCTTCAGCCCTCCCATTTTATGCTTAAAATAGTCCTGGCAGGGTTCAGTGAAACAGAAGTTTTCCCTGATTTGGGAGACAAGGGCCTAAGGATGTGGTGATATAAAGATCCATGCCCACTTTTCCAACTAGTGTATTTCATATAACTAGGGCCCAGGTTAGCTTTGATGGGGACACAGGACTGACAGGACTGTCCATGTAACAAAAGAAAAGAAGGCAAAGATATGCTGGGATTTTCTCATGATTGATGTGCATGATACCAGGCATAGCCAACCACCACAATCTAATGTTAGGTTAGGTTTTGACCAACATATTTGCCAGATGTGGCGGGTACATATCTGTAATCCAGTAACTCGGGGCTAAGGCAACAGGATCACAGGTTTCAGGCCAGCCTCAGCAACTTAGATCCTATTTGAAGATTTTTTTTTTTTTTTAAAGGGCTGGGGATGTATCTCCGTGGTAAAGCACTCCTAGGTTCAGTCTCCAGTACTGAAAGGAAAAGAGAAGGAAGATGGGGGAGGGAGGGAAGGAAGGAAGGGAGAGAGAGAAAGAAAGAATAGCCCTGTATCCCTCCAAAGGATTAAGTTTTTAGCCAGTTAAAGAACTCCTGAGGGGCTGGGGTTGTAGCTCAGTGGTAGAGCACTGGCCTCACAAGCGTGAGGTTTGATCCTCAACACCACATAAAAATAAAGATATTTTTAAAAATTTACTGAGGTAGGGACAAATGTATTTATGTCTAAACCTCAGTTCTTACATGAGAAATTGCATGTTGTAGAAATCCTTTTATTCACCAAGACCAAGTTTCTTGTTGTAGACTACACTTCAGAGTTCCGTGACTTCTCACACTAAAAGCTCCTAAATTCCTTTATCAACTGAATGAACTCCTACTGTACGCCAGAATCTGGGGATATAGTAATAAATGGAACTGAACATTCCTAATAGGAGAAGCAAACCTTAATTACATTTTTGGTAAGTACTATGGAGTGAAAACTATTACAGTGATATAGCAAGCTTAAGCAACTTAGCAGGACCCTAAGTTTTTCAAAAAGGTTGAGATGTAGCTAAGTGGAGAGCTTGCCAAGCATTCACAAGGCCCTGGGTTCCAGATCCCCAGCACACCAAAAAAACAAATCACAAGGACTGACATGGGAGTGTGGTTACAACAAAGTGGAGAAGGCAGCACATGTGAAGGCTCCTAAGTAAGATGCCATTAGGATCCAGAAAGGCAGCTCTGTGGCAGGGAAAAACTGTATACAAGAAATCTGAAGAGGTAAGTTTATGGCAAGTCTTTAAGCTCTGTTAAGAAATTTCATTTTTAACCTTAGAATAACTGGAAGCTTCAGGTTTTAAGCTTAGGAATAACAGGCTGATTCTTAAAAGATTATGCGGGGGGTGGGGGGTGGGGCGGCTGGGGTTGTGGCTCAGCGGTAGAGCGCTCACATAGTACAACCCCCTGGGTTCGATTCTCAGCACTACACAAAATAAATAAATAAAATAAAGCTATTGTGTCCAACTACAACTAAAAAAAAATATATTAAAAAAAAAAATCATGCCAGACAATGACACACACCTGTAACCTCAACTGAAGCTGAGGAAAGAGGAGCTAGCCTGGGCAACTTCAAGAGAACTTTTTTTTTTTCTTTTGATATTTATTTCTTAGTTCTCGGTGGACACAACATCTTTGTTTTGCATGTGGTGCTGAGGATAGAACCCGGGCCGCACGCATGCCAGGCAATCGCGCTACTGCTTGAGCCACATCCCCAGCCCTCATTAAGTTCTCTTTAAGGGCTGGGGATGTGGCTCAAGCGATAGCGCGCATGCCGCGTTCGATCCTCAGCACCACATAGAAAGATGTTGTGTCCGCTGGAAACTAAAAAATAAATATTAAAATTCTCTCTCTTAAAAAAGTCTTTGTGTTTAAAAATAAATAAAATAAAGAGAACTTAATGAGAAAATATAAAAAGGGCTAGGAGTGCAGATCAGTGTTGAAATCCCTGTGTTCAATCTCCAGTACTGCCCCCCAACCAAAAAAATCACTGATCAGAAAGGAACAAAAGTGAACAGCATTTGTCTAATGTGTGAGAGGTCTTCTCCCCGAATCAGGAAGTCAGCAGAATTGATTCTTGTTTTTCTGGTACTAGGAATTGAACTCTGGGGTGCTGTGCCACTAAGCTACATTCCAACCATTTGCTAACTTGCTATCTTCCTGCCTCAGCCCCCCAAGTCGCTGGGATCACAGGTGTGTGCCACCACACCTGATTTAAAGTTTTATTTTAAAGGAAGAAAAAATACCTTTGTAGACAGGAAATGGACCATTCATGAGGATGTGAGATTCTGGGTACAATCCTGAGGTTGATCAAGTCATAAATAAGAAGACAGGCTGTTTCTCCAACCTTAATATTTGCTTAGTACCTAGTATAGGTCAGGGTTTGCTGGAAGGATTTGCAAAAAGCACCGTTGAGTGCTAAGGGGCAGAGGAGATGAGATAGGATCCCTTAGAGATCTTCAGAGACTACTGAGATTGAGTATAGTGGTTAGAAACAGGTCTGAGGTCAGAGTTCTGGGATTAGAATCTTATCACTACCACTTAAACTCAAATGAGACCTGACACAGATAATTGTACCAAACAGGATAAAATGGTAATTGTGATGAGAAATCTAAAACAGTTGTTAGAGTTGTGCCTTAAGATTGACTTTTGCCTATAATACCACCAAGTCAGGAGGCCGAGGCAGGAGGATCGCGAGTTCAAAGGCAGCCTAAACAATTGTGGGAGGCCCCAAGCAACTCAGTGAAACCTTCTCTCTAAATAAAATATTAAAAATGTGGCTTACAAAAGATGTGGCATAATAGTTAAGCACCCCTAGGTTCAATCCCTTTTCCTAGTAACGTGCCCCCCACCTCCAAAAAAAAAAAAAAAAAAAAAAAGACTTCTTTGAAAATGTCTGGAATAGAACTAATCTGTCCTACATAGACAGTGAATGTTTCTGAGGGATGGATGAAGGCTAAGGGGATGTCCCTGGCCCAGGATAGGGTTTATTTTCCCTTGGACTTCAAGTGCTTCTTAGAATATGACCACTGTGCCTGGCCCTTGCTTGGGTGGATGCCCAGAACCCTGCCCTAAGTGGCTGACTACTCAGGAAGAAATTCATGAAGGCTTGGGTTACTGTTCTCCAAAACTGGGCCAGGGACATCCCCTTGGTTTTCATGATCCCTCACAAACATTCACTGCCTATGTAGGACAGATTAGTTCTATTCCAGACATTTTCAAAAAAGTCCGGGTTTTTTTTTTTTTTTTTTGGAGGGCGGGGAGCATATTACCAGGGATTGAACCTAGGGGTGTTTAACCACTATTAACCTGCAATCCTAAGAGGACCTACCTGTCCACATAGAGGGGAGGATTCCCAGCTCTTCATATGCTAAGGCCAACAAGGCTACCAGTGTGGTGGCTCTGGATGGTCATTGGAACTGGCATCAGGACAGTGGCTGAGAGAATAGGGAAAGTTGAATGGCTAGCAAAAGGACTTCCTACATGTGCTATGAGCACCACTGTCTTCCCCACTGTTGAAGCATGGCCAGTATACTTCAATGGCTGTGAATCATACCTGATTGTGTGGACATGATGAGTTCTGTGAAGTTCAGTTTAGCTGAACTTCCAACC